CCGAGAAATTGCGGAGCTGCTCTGCGTTTGCGTGCCGAGTATTTGGAGAAGAGTTGCTTGCACGGCGTCGGATTCGACTTGGTCCCGGATGCAAAGTTCTTTGGAGAAGGTGATCAAATCATTGCATAATCCCGAAAAATTCTTGGAATGAGTCTGAGAGTCTAGACTAGTCCAGATTGTAGGTTCTCTTCTTGTGTTGTGCGTAGTCCTAAGGACCTTGTCATGCACTTTTCAGGGAATCTGCTGCTGCACAAGAAAAGTGAAAATGTAGTTGTACCTCGAAAACTCGAACCTTCCCAAGTCGAATTTTTTTTTTTTAAGTCCCTGTCTGAATGCCCTTACAATCGATGTATTAAAAGCCTTATTAACTTGAAGGATTTCCCGTCAGACCTACATAATTCGAATTTTCTGGAGGCCTTTTGACTATGATTTTATTCACGCAGGAAAGACAAAAGGACCAAAAATATCAGTTGATGTGCTGTGAAAGGAAGTGTAAGATGAATCGGGCAAATGAACCCTTGCCTTCAAGTTCAGCATCCTGTGAACTCGTTTAAAAAACATTTAAGACCCAGAATGTCACCAATTAAAATTTCTTGTGATTCTCTTCTCTTTTTCCCAACAAAAAAGCTTGTTTCCATTTGACTGGAATTTTTTTCTTTTTCTGGTTCCTTGAAGTTCCACTTGGAAAAGGTTTGACTATTATACATCGTAAGTATGCTAAGGTGATGCTAGTAAAGAATACATGAAAACTGCAGTGTGGGCAATGCAAAATTTTGTATGAACACGAGGGTATACAGAATGCTTCCATTTTTAGAACGGTACAAAATAAATGGGACAGACGATTCGATTTTTTTGCGCTTACGGGCTAAGCAGCATTGTGATTCCATCAGGAGCTTCACTGATGGTATTCATCGTGAAATGGGCTCAGTAAGTCAAGATAAGGTTGAGAAAACCTGATCTAGATAACTTCTGATGCATACTTTTTTATGGTGAAGTTAATCTTGAAATTGCAGCCGAGTTGTCGCCATAGTCGGTTTTTCGTTCGTGAGAGCCGTTGAACCTTTTCCAAAGTTATTTTTGACCGAATTAATCGTTCGTCCGGCAGTTTTTTTTTTCTTTCCCGGATTTAATTTCGACGAATAGCTTGAGTCTCGTTCAACAGCTGTTCGCGAGTCGTTCCTTATAATTTTACGCTACAGTTTTCGGCCAATTATTTTTTATTTCCTCTGGAACGAAAGCTGACGAATTCATAATTCTTATCTTGAATGATTCAACAGGTTTTGGATTTTCAACGGACAAGACGACCCTGAAAGAGAGAAAGAAGTTACTGAAACGAATGGAACGAGAAAAGAAGTACCAAGAACGGAAAGCGCGAAAAGTTTCTGATAAGACCAAGCAAAATAAATGTAAGTACAGTATTACTGTGTAAAATCAATGACCTCCACGTTTCTCAAGTAATTTTTATATTATCATTTTTGTAGCCGCGAAGGCGACGGTGAAAAAGTCGACGACCTTCAAGTGAGTATTCTGTACATTTCCCAGATCCATGATATTTCATGTTTTACAGTCACACGTACTCTGAAAATATCAGAGGTCGCGTCCAACTGGGACAGCCCTCGTACGCTGTAGCGATCGGTGAACATGATTCAAAACGGAAATTCTTTTTTCTCTAATAGGAGCTCTGAATTCATCGACTCCAACGACAGTTCAAGCGACGATGAATCAGCTCTGCAACGTATTTTGGGCAGAGCCGCCGGTGTCGAAGCCACGACACACGCCGACGAGGAGCGGGATGAAATTTTTGGAAAAACCAGCGCCGACGTTGAACGTTTGTCGTCTGTCTCTTCAAACGAATCGTCAAGTGACGACGTCGACAGCGACAGAAAAGCTGGCAACTCCCGAGTCGGCGAAAGAAGCAGAAACAAGGAGGCGTGGAAGCGGGCTCGAAGACTAATGTACAGCAACTCTGATGACGAGGCCCAGTTGATTTTGGATTCCTCAGCCAAGAGCGGAAACCTTGATGAAGAAAAAGGTGGGTGGAGTTTCTGACTATTCAATTTTTTACGTGGCGTTTTAGCGGGCAGAAAATTAATGTCCCAGTAGAAAATTAGAAAATTGCTGTGCTCCAAATAATGGTGCGTGGTTTGAGGTGAAAGTTTGTGAACTCATTTTTTTCCTTCGACCAGAATTAGATGTAACGTTCGGATGTTCTATTATCTTCGTTGATTTCGATGCAATTTTTCAAGCGAAAAATTCGAATGTATGGTTGATTGAGAAACAAATTTTTATCTAGACATTGGACCGTTTATTATGCAATAGGAAGCGTTGAAATGACGAAGAATTTAGTCCAACTGTACGTTTTGTTTGAATTACTGTATTTAATTTTGTCGATGAATAGCTAAATTTATGTTTTCTGTTCAATCTTTTGCATTTATAAAGCAAAAGTAGGACAATTCAGACTGTTGTAAGGAGGGTATAAATAATTACCCGTTTTACTCTTTTATATTTCCAAAGCCTCTTGATGTGGTTGGAGGAAAATAAAGGCTCCCGCGAATTTCTCCACCACTTTCATTTATGCTTAATCAATGACCTAATAATTTATTGGATTTTTCTCTATGCTACAAAGTGGCTCAAAAACTTGACCCAGCCCAGAGCTGTCCTTGAAAGCTGAATCATGATTTATTTGCGATTAAATTGAAGAATACTGTTGAGTTTGACACATTTCAGTAAGAAACTGGCCAAGTTTTAAATGCGATGGAATCTCGAAATTTTAGGCATGAAAAATGTGGAGTATAAGAAAATAAAATCGAGTGCGTTAGGTCAGCTGATGATGCATAATGTAATGAATTTTTTCCCAGATAATTTATTTTCCCGCGGAAATCGTATTTTTGACGCTATCGCAGTGGGCTTGTTTGGTTCGTGAAGTGGTTTAAATATTCCGGTTGGTTATTCCTGTGTCTGTTTTTCCCCCGTTGCGAAAAGTTGAAAGGTAGAAAGAAAACGATCTTTTTTTGTGTGACCTCGCTACAAAATTGATACCGATAATTTTATTTTTGATGTGCGCTTTTCTGTCCAGCTTCTATTCTGTAGGTGTGAGGCTGAAAAGCTCGCAAAATATCATTGACTTTCCGTCTGTATTGTTCGGTATTCTTGAATTTTTTTGTAATTTTCGCAGATTCAACTGACGATGAAGGAGAAAACGAAGCATCTTCAGAAAGTCGGAGAAAAATTGCTGATAAGGCACCCAAACCTGTGATAGGAGCAGATCCTTTTGATGCATTGATGAAAGCGTCGAAATCGCCGACATCATCCGGAAGAGTTCGGAATTCGTCCAGCTCAGAAGGAGAAGTCCGAGTTGTCCCGAATGATGACGAGGATGATGAAACAAGTCGGTCACCAATGCGGAAGCGACGTAGAACCGTGTTAAGTTCAGACGAAGAGGATGAAGTGAATGAGCCACGTGACGATGGAGGCGAAAAACTATCCACCGTCATTGGTGATGAGGAAAGCAATGATTCCGATGATGATGATGTTGTTGGTTTTAGGAGGAAAAGCAGAATGCGAGTCGAATCTGACTCGGATTGAGGCGCGTTTTTATACGTTTCGGTTTTATTTTTCACGTTTTGCTGAGCAGAATTTTTTCACATTATTTTATGTGAGATGACTCAAACATGGCGTGCAAGTTACTATTTTTCAAAGGTTTTGTAATCACTCTCTGGGGTGTTGGAAGTGTGAAGTTTTTATCTGAAATTTGTGATGGCATTTCCGGATCAGAGTTTTGCTCCTGCCTGTTCAATGTCCAATTCAAGGATCATATGATTGTCTATTCCAATGTTCCCCAACCTGTTGCCTGACTGGCAAATTCCCGTGAAATTTTCTGCAGACCAGCAAATTTTCTTAAAATTTGTGAAGACTGAAAAAAATTGTGCTTGAAAATCTTCATGGCAGGTATTTAGAAAGTTTCTGCTTATTCCGCAATGATAAACTGAAGAACCCATGAAGCAGATGCAGTGGAATGTCTTCGGAAATTAGAAAGGTGTGCTTGTAGAAAGATTTCTCAGAATAAAAAATTTAAAAAAATTTATTTTAGCGGGTGAATATTTGTCTGAAGAATTACAGTATTATAAGAAAAGCCAGCATTCATTTTTCATGAAATAATTGTAACCGCCATTGTTGACAAAATTTCAGATGAAGATACTGTGATGACCCTCATTGCTTCTTTCAATAAATGTATTATGCCGGTGGAAATTTCCTGTGGACTGGCAAAAAACTTCTGCAGATCTGCGCAGGTCCAAAATACTGTACACTGTTTTATTCCATTTTGATTTGGTGTCTGAAATGAAAAGGGCCCTGAAAATATTCAGGCGACATTTATTGCGGAAAATTTTTAGTAAAATAGTGGAGTCTAGGATGTTGAACTCGTGCTTGTGGAAAAAGCCGACCATGTTTCCACCAACCTGTTTTGCTTGTCAACTCTTTAAAAGGAAAGGTAAAAAGCCGCATATACTTTAGCTAAGGCCCACCTCTTTTTCACCGAGTAAAAGAGCTAGCACGGTTCAGCCTTTACGTACGCACTACGCTACCTGCTACTACTTTCCCTCCCGTTTTTTCTGCTTCGTTCCCTGGAACCTTGTGGGCAAATCGATCCAAGTATGGGGAAGTAATTTCCCCTTTGCGATTCAGTTTCAGGTAAGGCCAGGCGAGGCCTTCTAATGATGCAGCCACGCGCGGGGGGAACAAGAAAATGTGGCGGAATGGGGCCCAACCTGCAGCAGGCGGTGGATCGTGATCAGAGATCGATGCGAAGTTCTCTCCCTCATTCGCCCCCACGACTTTCTTCCCTTCTCGCAGTGTTCCTTTTGATGGATGACGAATGTCTGAATGGGCTCAGGGGAAGACTTCTGAAATTTTTCCAGCATTCGTGGCCTGAAGTTGAAAATGAAGAAAGCAAGGAACAACATATGGTAGGTGCAATACAGGTGGTACCTGACAATTTGACCCCAATCCATTGCTGGACTAGGGTCAAATTGCAAAGCAGTTGAATTGCAAGACACTTCATAAAATAAAGAAATATGAGCACAAAAATGCAAAAAACTGGCTAAAGCCGGGCTAATTACAGAGCAGAGGTTGAATTGCAAGTCAACCTTCCTGCAAATTTGGCCGTATGATTTCAGGATGGTCAAATTGCAAGGTGCCACCTGTGCTTGGATGTTAGATACACTTTTTCAATTTTTTTATGTTGGAAATTTGCAAACAGCAGTATTCCTATCTACAACAAAATTCAAAATACCAGATAAAAATTGGTCTTTCGACCAGATCTTTTAGGAAGAATTTTGTTACAGATGAGAGAATTGTCTCATTCAAGGGTCCAGATGAACATATTTTATGGGAAGAATTCTGTTGCAAAGAACAGTATAGTATGGAGAGAGAAACCTATGGGATCAAAGAAAAATTTGATCTACAGTGGAGAACTTGTTCAGGACATAACTGTTGTGAACACTGTCCAGTGTGATGAAGTAGTTGAAGAAGTGTAGGTTTTGCAGTTTTGTGCAATCTTGCAGATTGAAATTTAGTCATGCAAATTCCTTGCAAGAAATGTAGAGATTTCAGTTGTAAGGGGGAGTTTGAATTCTGGCTTTTTGCATGTGTTTTGAGGGGTGAGACATCCACCTCCAAATTTCAGCCTAAAATTTGGATAATCCCCTCATCCCAAGTAAGAAGTGTACCCAATTTTTGTGACCAAAAAATTGCAATGCTGTTACAGACTCTCTTCTTGATAAAATGTAGGGGTCCTGAAAAATGATTACTGTAGCTTGTAGAGAGAATTGCATTGCAGATAACTTCTATACACTGAGTATAAGACCCCTATGGCAGCATAAAAAATTCATTGCACAGGAGAATCTTAGGACAAAATATTTGGAATGAAGTTGTTTTTCAGGTCCAATGGACCAATAGCCACAGATTGAATGAGTTACTTCATAAGATTGTTTTTTCAATGAAGCTATTTCACTGTACCCAAAATGGCTGCATTGTTACAAGATTTTAGCTTACAGAGAAATTTGATGTAAACAAGATAATTGCGGAGAGAATCAACCTATATTTTGAAATGAAATCTAAGAAAGTTGTAATTTTCATGTGTATTAATGAAATTCAATTCATGTGTTTTTCACCTGGATTTACCTGATCCAATTACTGTATGTGGTTTTGAGTGGGCCATGTAATTTTCTGCAAGGGACTTGAGTATATGTGGTGAACCTGAACTATTATTTGTCAAATTTGGAAAAAAGTATAAATGTGTATATGACAGTTCAATTTTGGAAAAGCTGTACGCATGCATGGTATATACAGTATATGTAAGTGAATATGGTGGAGGTGGTACCTTGCAATTTAATCCTAATCAATTGCCAAACTAAGGTAAAATTGCAAGAATCTCTATAAAATCAAGGGCAAACAGCACAAAAACACTGGAAAGGAGGCTGAAGCAGGTTGAGTTTTAGGAAAGAGGTCAAGTTGGGAGTTGACCTCCAAGCAAATTTTACCATTGAATTGCTAAATGGTTGGATTGCAAGGTACCACCTGTACTGTACAGTAATGGTTTTCAAGAACGGCAAGTAAATGGGGGCCACAACTCTGATTCACAAGCATTTTAATTTTGAAAAAATTTCATTTTAAACTTACTGGCAGTTTTTATCTTTTTTTTTGTTTGTTTTGGAGCCAACAAATTTTTGGAACCTGAAGGTTTTTAGGGAATCCGCAGCTGGTGGAATGTTTTTTCCTCCAATTGAATTTCAAGAAAAAGGCTTTATTTTCAATGCATCAATACATATAAGCAACAGAATTAAGTTTTGTATAAATTTTCTTTCTGTTCGTTTCCAAAGGATCTTTCTGATGCATAAATTCAGGATCAATCTCATCAATAGGTTGAGGGCAGAAATGCGTTTTTGAGGGCTGTTTTGGGAGTTCGAATTTTCAAGGTCGGAGTAATCAAAATTTTCTTGCATGTCAAGCTACCTTATGTAAAATATTTCCCAATGTTTTTGGCTGAACATTTTTGTTTTCTGCAAAACAAAACAGATTTCTGGTATTCATTGCATATCAATCACTATAGGGGTGATTGTCTGAACTCTGAATGAGCTTGTGAGAGAAGAATAGCTTCAGGTTCACTTTTTCTTGTGGGCTGGAACCTGCTCTTTTTCGCACGCTGCCAAAAAACAAGAATGATAATGAATGAACGGATATATCGACCCTTTGGGGGCGAAGAGCTTCCCTGGAATTCGTGTTAACAACAACAGGAGTGGTTTTGTGTGTGAATGTCGTATGTTGTCGCGTAGAAATACAGTATTTCCGTGAATTCTGACGATATCAGCGTTCCCGTAAACCTCATTTGTATTCATGAATCCGAACTACAGTTCTCTAAGTCTAAGTGAATGGAATTTCAAGGGACCAGCAAAAAAAATCTACTTGAAGAGGTCTTAAAAATAGAGGTTGGAGCTGCATTACAAAGCACTTTTGTTCTGGGAAACAGAGAAATTGCCAACAATTGTAAATGATGGTATTCTATGGCTTAAATTGCTTCTTAAATTAGTTGAAAGGATGCTGAATTTGTAGGCAGCGGTTCATTTTTCCAATCAAGTGTTTCATTTCTTTTTGAAACACATCAATTTATGTTTTTATTGTTTTTTCTTTCTTGTGTAAAGAACGTACAGTAATAGCCAACAAGCCACAGGAAATTTGACTAACATAGGTTTGGGAGGGGGGAACCTTTGATTTAGGGAGGTTTTTAATGTATTATTTCTAAGAGGATTCAGATTGGGATCTGAAAAAAATTTGACTTTGAGGGGTATTCTACTTGAGGAGGTTCAAGTTATCAAGGTTTACCTGTACCATATTCTGTGCTCTGATGTAATATTATTAATTGGCAATGGTCATGAGGGATGGTAAAGAAAAATGGTGTTCAGATTGAACAAAACAGTAGAATCTTGTTTTTCCATGCACTTTTACAGCAAAAATATTGCACACAAAAACTCAATAACGGAGGTTTGCTGATCACATAAACTGAAAATTATTTTGACTCCTGAATATTCACTTCCTGCAACTTGTATCTCTCTCACAAAAAAGCTAGGCCAAATGAAAGTGTTGTATTAAGTCATGCTAAAAAAAAAAGACTGAATTGGGCTAGGATAATTCAACAGTTTGAAGTAAGCAAAAATATTCTCTTCAACAGGATAAAACAAAGGTTCACAGATGATTTTCCAAAGATGAAGTGGACAACTTACAGTAAGCCAAAAATATGAAATGATGATTTTGGCATTGAGCATTTCCCAAAACAGGGCTAGAGAAAAAAGCCTTCAAGAAAGCAAGCAGTTTTTAACATTATAAGGGAGAATGTGGAAAATCAGAAGAAAATGTAATTTATACCGAATCTCCGTGAAACATTTTGAAAATATTCAGTTAAATCTTGTTACAGGAAACTCCCAGCAGGGACCTTGAAAAACATAGCTGAAATTGAAAATTTGCTATATGATGGGACTCTATGTTTTTAGAAAATTTGGGACTTGACTCTTCTTGTGAACAGGTGATGAATACCTTTCAATTCTTTCAAAACAGATGTAATGTGAGATACTGAGATTGTAAAAGTGAATGTATGAAATTTAAGTTATTCAGGCAATTTATATTGTGAAAGTTTCCAATGGAGTTCATCAATTTTTCAGGCTACAGCAAAAGCAAAAATCCCCCCTCCATTTTCCATTTTATAATGTCTACCTTGTCATTGAGAAAATATTCTATTAAAACTTCAAGCTGGACTAAGTTTGTGCAATATTGTCCAAAAATGATATGTGAACTTTACCCGAAATGGGTCACTTTTTTGTCATTCTACTGTATTCCATCTTAGTTGAAAAAACAATGTACGTCAGGTTGTTTTGGTTTAACGGTCTTACAAAAAATTTAAAGATGGGTTAGTAAAAATTACTGCTAAAAAGGACTGGTGTTAACTAAACGAAACTAGTTTGAAGTCTGTATCATTTTGAAATTTTATTTTTATCAGCCTCCATCTCTGCACACCTCTCTTATACAGTAGCAAATGAGTTGATGCCAAATTAAGTTCATGTGCCTCCCTGTCTTAATTTGTATATTGCATTGAAATATATTAGATGGTTCAACTGATAATCCTCAAAACGAGGTTTTTTTTCTGAAGCATAGGAAAATTCTGTTCAATTCCTGATGTGAAAATTTGAATTCACTCTTTTGTTTTTTTATTCATTACTTGTGACCCTCAGTTTTTGCCATTTCTTTGCAGGACAATAACAATGTTATAGTCCCTTTTTTCAGCGATGGGACACAGTGTTCCCAATGGTGCTCTTTTCGGTGCGCGCCAAGGAAAAGAAAACCAGGCTCAAGTAATTCCCCTCAGCAGTCATATATACCAACTGCATGTCAGTCAGGGCAAGGTTCTTATTTATTAGTTGGAAGCTATCT